AAACCTTTAAATAAAGCATTAAGATGGATAAGATATCCAATCCCAAACAAACGGGGCCTTCTTGATAGGCTTATCAATACAAGTATCTTTTCAAAATTTGATCTAAAGTATGGATATTGGCAAATCTAGATAGGTGAAAAAGATAGATATAAAACAACTTTTAATGTCCCCTTTGGGCACTATGAATGGAATGTTATCCCATTTGGTTTAAAAATACACCATCCGAATTTCAAAACATTATGAATAAATATTTAATCCTTTCACTAAGTTTATGATAGTATATATTGACGATGTGCTTGTCTTTTCCGAATCTATTGAACAACATTGGAAGCATTTAAAGGTTTTTCATAAAGCTATGAAAAATATTGGCTTAGTAGTATAAGCAAAAAAGCTTAACCTTTTCCAAAACAAAATAAGATTTCTTGGCCACAACATCTATCAAGGAAGAATTGTCCCTATTGATAGGGCAATTCAGTTTGCAGATAAGTTTCCTGATATTATAAAAGATAAGAAAGAGATCCAAAGATTTGTGGATGTTTAAATTATATTTCTGATTTTTACAAAAACTTTGCCCTAGATGCAAAACCTTTGTTCCAACGGCTTAAAAAGAACCTTAAGATTGGACTGATGTCATACCAAAGCCGTTCGAAAAATTAAAATCAAAGCTAAAGAATTACCTTGTTTAGCACTTTATAAGCCCAATGCCATTAAAATTCTTGAAATTGATGCTTCAGGACAAGGATTGGGAGGTATTCTTAAATAAAGAATTCATCAGAAAGAATAATTAGTCAGGTTTACTTCCAAAACTTGGAACCCATCAGAGCAAAATTAAAAAAAATTCTTACTTTAGTCCATTATTTAACCAAGTTCCAAAGTGATCTGTTTAATCAAAAATTTATTGTACGAATTGATTGTAAAGCAGTAAAAGATATTCTCGAAACATATGTAAAAAAATCTCGTTTCAAAACAAATTTTTACCCAATGGCAAGGAATCCTTTCAACTTTCGAATTTACTATCGAACATATCAACGAAGACTCTAATTTCCTTCCTGAATTTTTGCAGGGATGACAAAAGATGGCAGAATCAGAATAAAAAAAAGCCCAATGAATCAGAATAAAAAAAGCCCAATGGATATAATTTTAAGTCCAAATAAGAGTCTGACTACAATATCCACATCACTCAATACGTTAATAGAAAATCAGAGCAAAGATATTAATATATATCATCAGTTAAACTCTTTAAGGGCTTATAGCCCAAGTCTAAGTCTTAATAAGACCCTTTTTATTGAAACAACATTTATAGCTCTTATGGTGATCGAAGATGATCATAAAACAAAAGATCCCGTTGAAATAGCATCAATATACCTGAAAAACCATATGCACCCAAATAAAGGAGAAAAGTGGCAAGAATTTTATGAAGCTATCGTTATGGAAATAGGATCAGCAACAATAGTTCACCACCATAGAAACAATGACAACCAAATTGCATATTCAAAATTCCAGATACATAAGATCTTTTCCTATAGAGACTGGGGTCTCGATCCGTTAAAACCCCTACCATTACTTTGAATATATTAAAGCATAAGATGAAGTGTTCGCCTATCAAAACATGAAAACCTTGTATAGTTGGTATGTTCAGTTCAAATTAACTGACTTTACAGAATTCTCTAACTGGTTTAAAAACTGATTTCTCCTATGGGGATCATGTGAACAAATCCTTCCTGAAAAAATAAAAATATTCCAAAGAAAATTCTCTGAATACAACAAACGTTGTTTAAAAGGAAACTACCATCTTTATTTTATAACTTTATACCAAGTTCCTTGGATCCTTAAATGGACATACAAAATTACTGAAGATGACATGGATAGATGAGATTATATCCCAGAGCTTCACAGGCAAATAGCCGTAAACTGGTGGGACAATTATAGAAACAAGTCCTTATAACCTGAGAATATTTACATGAAAATAATCCCTACTTCTCAGTTACAAGATAATCCTAAACTTGGGATAACTGAATATGTCACAATTATGTAGCAACAAAATCCTAGATAAACTAAAGCAGAGCATAAAAAGAAGCTTGTTACTAGCCTTGGAAGAAGATGATAAAGATGACAAAATATCCACATCAACCAAAGCTGAAGATGAAGAAGAGGATTATAGTCCTCTGAATGGAGACGACTGTGAATATATTATTTTTTCTCCAAAACTAGAAACATAAAGAAAATGCTTTTCTTTAAAAGGGGACGGTGCGACTCCCAATTACCCAGGACACGAGTCCTATAATAGGTGGCCGACAGCAAGAATATAACTATTCACCTTTCTTTGTAGCTAATGGCAGATATAAATACCTTTCTACTATAGTGTCGGTACGTCCGTACAATAATTCATCTTTCTACTGTAGTGTCGGTGCGACTGTGCAATAATTCAACGGATTCCAAAATCTTACTTTGAAGTCCAGCTTTCCGTCTATAAATATGGGAAGCCTCTTCCATAAGAGGCATCGTCTGTTAGAGTATGCTTTATGCTTTGAAGTTAGAATGTGCTTTGTGCTTTGAGTGTAAAATGTGCTCGTATATCCGGTGAGCATCTTACCCATATGCTCTTGCATATGGTTTAGTATCATAGCCGATATAAATCCATTTTTACTGTGGTGTCGGTGCGTCCCTACAATAATTCACCTTTCTATTGTAGTGTCAATGCGTCTGTGCAGTAATTCAGTGAATTCCAAAATCTTACTTTGAAGTCCGGCCTTCCATCTATAAATAGGAGAAGCCTCTTCCATAATAGACATCGTTTGTTAGAGTATGATTTGTGCTTTGAAATTAGAGTGTGCTTTGTGCTTTGAAGTTAGAGTGTGCTTTGTGCTTTGAGTGTAAAAGCGTGCTTGCATATCTGGTGGTGTATCATGTAATTGTGCATCTTACCATGTAAGTTCGTTTAACTTAAGTTACCTATTTTTGTTACCTATTTTTGTTAGTTTATTATCTGTTTTATCTGTGTATATCCTGCTTCGCTGTAATTGGTATCAGAGCCAAATTCAGTAGAATTTGTTAGGTTGAAATTATAACTAAAACCAAAGTCACTGTGACCCAAATATCACTGTTAATGACCAAGATAGGTCAAGAAATCTGTAGGGACTATTTCCAGTTGACTCGATTGACAGCTATAAGGTCAAAGTGACAAATTTTATTAGGACGCTATCTAATAGGACAACTTCTTCTAACACTCTTCGAGTAAAGAATAAAGAAGAGGTTATTATAGACAATATCGAAAAACAAATCCAAAATTGAAATATTCTAAAGGTTCCGGTAACATATGCTTTTGCAAGATTCCTGGTAATGCTCCGCTGGTAGCTATGCATCTTACCCTTAGTGGTAAGATGGCTTCGTGGATGTTGTAACCATTTTCTTTTCTAATGGTTAAAGGATTAAATCAACCAGTTATTCTTGGAACACTTTTTTTAAATATGCTATAGCCAATAAAAAATGATGACACAGGGATTGCTGCCAATACTAAAGGACATGAAATAAAATTTAACTTCATCGATAAACCTAGAATACATGAGATAAATAATATAAAAAATAAAATCTCTACTAAGGAAAAATTCATGTTCTCTTTAAAAGAAGAAATCAAATATAAAACAATTGAAGAAAAACTACTATCTTCAAAAACCCAACATGAAATTATATATATATATATATATATATATATGTTGCATTATAAAACCCTAGAATGTTGCAATCACTCCTATCTATTGTATGTTAAATCTAATAGTTACACAGTTCAAAAAAAAATTATTTTGATTTTTATGCCTAATCAATCACACATCCCTAGCTGATTGTTCATTTAATAGATTGTGATATTTTTATATTAAAAATAAGGGAAAGTATATAATGAGACCATTTAATTTTGGTACAAAATCATCACAATTACCATTGGATGTGAAATTCAGTGGCTGCATTTATTTCATTGACCAAGCTCAAAGTTCACAAAAAAAAAAAAATTGAACTTTGTAACATACCCAAACTATCAGATTTCACATCGTGTTTGGAAATTGGAACCCTGAACAAGGTTATCTTTAGGAGATATTACCGCATTGAAGTGGCCCAAGCAACCTAATGTGAATACGCTACCCTGGCGCCTTGTCCGAAAGCATTTTTAAATTATTTAAAACAAGGATATTTAAATTATTTGGTTCAAACCAAGGCGGGAAGCTGCAAATGACCAAGGAACCCCTGTTCACGCCCGGAAACTTGAAACTCATTTTTTCATTGGATATGTTTGTTCTGAGTTTCTTACCGCGAAATAAGCGGTAATTTAGTTGTTATTTTGGAATTAAAGGGCCTAGCAAATCGACAAATCATTTCCTTGCACATTCACTTGTTAAAAGTTAGGAAACCATTCATTTGAGATGCTCGTTTTGAGTTCTGAATAAATGAAAGTACCCACTCTAGCCGCTTTTGAAATTATTGAAATGCCTTGCTTGTACAGGTCCAAATCCTTAAATAGGGGTAATTATGCTATTTTTAAATAAATATTTTGACATAATCGAGTCGAATTAATTTACTCGAATATCAATTTGGAGCAACCTATTAAATGAATGACTAAAATATTTTATTTTAAAAAATTATCAATTTTTTTTTACACATTAACAATCTCCATGTTAAAGATTGTGTATTCCTCAAAAATCAGGGTCAAAATTTCCTTAAAAGGGGGGAACCGCATTGTTATATATGGGTCCAGGGACTCAGAAACTGTCCTTCTTATGAATAAAAAATAATTAATTAAATTTTTTTTATAAAAAAAAAAAAGAGCCCAGCTCTAGAAAGATAAAATATATCGCGCAAGAAAGATGGTGGAAAACCTCCAAACGTATGATGCAAAGGGGGAACATGCGTTCTGTCAGCTTCAGGCGTATCAAAAAGCAAACCCCAAAGAACGCATACCATCTGAGAGATCTTCACCATCAACTTCCCTTAATTCACCTTACCAAATGAAAGATACAATCTAACCTCCATGATTCATTCTTTTTTTTTTTTACAATCGTCTAACCTCCATGAGATATTCGTACATAGATTTCGATCAACTCTCATTGCCAGAGAGTATCAACACCCTTACATGAATTAAGACAGGTGCACTAAAGGATCCATACAAAAAGGGAAAGCACTTGATTTGCATAAATGTAATCCTAGTAACCATGAAAAAAAAGGAAGATCTTAGTGTTACATGTACAACTTCTTGCACTAAATCACTATATTAGTGATCACTTCCTCAGGCAAAGTAAAAGCCGGTTGTTTTCAAACCAACTGCTATGAAGGAAAGAGCCCAGCAGCCTATATGCAAAAGATTGGCAAGAACAAACAGAGATAGCAAAAGCATACTTGGAAAAGAAGCTGAATTTGACAGGAGTTGCCCTGCCCTTAAGACCAAAGAAGCTCACCTCATGGATAAACAGGCCGAGTATGCATCAATTTGTCACCACCAAATTCCCAGCAGTGGCGCCAGGATAGACTTGCTGCATATTGCTTCCAGTAGTTCTCCCTAAAAATAAAGGTAATATAAGTTCGAAACATTTTAATGATCAATCCTGAACTGATTGCTGGACCCATACATATACTGACATACATGCATGCGTATTCATATGAACAAGTACAAGAATGTCTTCTTTTTTTTGGGGTTGGGGGAGGGGGGGGGGGGAATCAGCTCAACAAATAGAAATACAAAATACAAATACAAATACAAGAACATTGACACAAAATTGAGTGTTCATAATCATGTCCTTTACATGCATGTGTGCATCCATATGAACACGTGTTACTCTTAGATTTGGATACAATAACCTCCAAGTCACGTAAAACTCCACAGAAACAATTCTCCCAATTTTCACTACTAATACAGAAGGAAGCAAGGCTTGATAAATGTGTGTAAGCACTTTGTGAGTCATTTGAAGAAAGAAAAATCAATTTATCAGACCCATGCCTTAAAACTAATTATCAGAAATATCGTAAACTGATTCACTTTCTTGTAGAAAATGGTATGCTTGTGTGTTTGTTGCTGTCTTCACTTGATTGTCTAGAAGGTATGTTTGAGAGGGTTTATTCATAGTTTCAAAATCTCTCTCTCTCTCTCTCTCTCTCTCTCCCCGCCCCCCACAAAAAAAAAAGGGACATGCGCATATGCATAATTCTCGTGAATAACATACAAGTGCATTTCTTCTTTTTTTACCCAATTACATTAGTATTAATTAGTCAAAATGTATAATTGCTTGGTGCATAAGGGTTACAAATAATGGTGTGGGTTTGTACAAAAACAATTGGTATGTTCCTGATCAGGGGTAGATCTAAAGCTCAGTTGATGACTATTTCTGCACGGGATACGCCTAAGACTTGACAACTACAAATCGGTCTTCCCTCCACGTGTGTCTGAAAAAGTCACTTGTAGAGCTCGGCATAGGTCAAAATTTGATCAAACAAGTCATTTAATCTCCCTGGGCAAGGCGATCTCTCTTTAGGCCAGTTATTAGCATTGACAGAGTTGTTTCCAACAACAATATTTGTGCCCCAATTACTGTAAAACAACTGAAGACCAGCAAGCAGAGCTTGTGCCTCAGCTCGAATGGCATCAGTAAAACCTATCAGCCTCAAGTAGGTGAGTTTTCGCTCTGAGCAGTTTCTAAAGTTTTCCTCAGTGCCTGCCTGCCCCAGATTTCCCATGGAATTACCGTCAAAAGTTGAATTCAACTGGGTGAAGAATTTAAGAATAAAGTTTAACCACATTGTTTCTTTAAGGATAAAGTTTACCCACATTGTGTCCCGTATACCTTTTTCTTTAAGTTCACCTACATTCTTGGAGGAAATTTTACCTCAGGAGGAGGAGGTCTGGAGTGAGCAGCCAATTAATTGGCTTGGCAGCTCCTGGGTTGAATCTGTTCAGGGAACGACGAGGCCTCTTTCCCAGGGTAATTCATTGGGCCAGATGATAGGATTTTTTGAATCGCGGGTGTAAAGGCTAGGGAGAGATGGGAGAGTCTACTGTTTTGATATCTTGATCTTCCATTACTGTTCTGGTTCAATCTTTCAAAGCACATTCCATGACCGAAGTTCAAGGCATACGCATATCTACTAAAAACGATGAAGGAAAGTTCAATCATCATGTGTAATCTTCTTTTGGAAACTGGAAAATTTAGTCGATTCTACAGATGTAAATTAAGAATAACCAGGTGAGACCTACAAATAAAAGGTTATTTGGCATTCAAGAAACCAATATCACAGGCCAAGAAACATCATGTTCCCATAATGGTTTGGAGGGCTCATGTTAAAGATGTTCCCAATGGCCACATTCTTTTCTTTTCTTGGTTATTCCTAATGTGCATGTTAGAACATCCCACATGCATATCTCTGTGGCTGTGTGAATGACTATAGCAAGAAACCCCTGGTTTAGAATGTTCAAGAAATGACAAAGATCAATATTTTCCTGACCTTCAGTTTTCTCAGTTTTCCTTCTGCTGCGCCATAGTAGTCGGATAGGTGTGCCTGGAAACCCTGCGTTGGCTCTTAGTTGCTTCTCCATGTAACGCCGGTATGTCTCCGGAAAGAGCTTTGCATCATTTACAAAGAAAACAAAGGTAGGAGGACGAATAGCTGCCTAAAGAGCAAACCACTTGTAAGTTATGAGCGTCATGCGAGGGGTTGCACATACTAGTTTGCACGATTTAACCAAAAAGTACAGATAATAAGAGAATGAGGAATACGAAAACTGAAGTTGCAGAAATATAATTCATAAAGGAAAAGAATTTAATAAGAATTTTGTCACGCACTGCTCCCAAGGAATACTGCCTGATAAAGAGGAAGTGGTTTACAGCTTATAGTGAAATTATCTGCAGTACTTGATAGAAGCTTTCTAATTAGGATATTGGTGCCTGGTTGGGCCCATAAATTTCCTTTTGGGGCCTGCAAATGTAGTTTTCCTGCAATAAGCACGCAACTGTGTGGGTACTTTATAAGACTTCTCCATGAATTTGTTATGCAAGCGAGCATTCTTTATACCAGCTGATTTATTTCCCATGCATTAGTAAGAGAGAAGAGAGACTGCTCTCATGGTGCCCATTTTGGTGGACGACTCTGCTGGTGCCCATCAGAGGAGAGACAGCAATCATAGTGTCATGAAAAAAAGAATTTGAATAGGGATACATATATTATTTATTCCTGACAAAGCATTACCTTTATCATTAAGATATGCAATTAAAAACTGATTGATCTATATCACAAATCACCCAAAAATAAAAGAACATATTGAATAACCTAATCCAAGAATACAGGAAACAATTTCTTAGATACTGTTATCAAGAAAGCAACCTTTGAAAAATAAATCTTTTGAAAACATTTTCAGGTGTTAAAGCTTGAGATTCATATTATTTCAAATAAAGAAAACTTGTGTTTTGAGAAACAAGAGTTGCATTGGATTATTTGATGGGTATGAGCTTTCAGTCCAAGCCATCATTAGTTTTGATGTGCAGAACCTTATCCAAGGGATCAAAGCCCGTCGCATACATAAGCATGGGTTTCATTGATTTTGATGTTGGGCTTAGGCCAATCAATTTGCTCTCATTAGTATGCCCTAATAGTGTCTAGGTCATGTGACTAATACAAACATCAAAACGCCTATTTTTGTTCTTGCAGTACATCCTTTTCCCAAAGCACATCCTCGTCATACAGGCTTGAAGTTTTCTGTCTAGATAACAGGCTTGAACTTTTCTGTCTAGTTAACAGCACTAATTGACCCCTTGAGCTTCTTTTTCTCCCTATTTCTATGCTAATCATATCTATATACAAAATGCACAATAATGTTTTTTGAGAATGTACAAAATGCAGAATAATTATCTAAATACCATAAAGAACAGCACACAAAATTGCCAGCAAGTAAATATTTCATACAAAAGACTACCTGAGTGCAATAGTATACCCTCCCTCTCTTGCCTCCTCTAGTCCTTGGTGGAGCCTTAAATGCTAAAGCTTCTTGCACTACTTGGTTCAAAATTGAAGTGCCCAGCCTTCTTGACCTCTCTCTTTCAACCATGCTAGCAGCATCTATAATCCTAAACATATAATAAGAATCAATGGAATGTGAACACATCTCACTTGAGTCAGTTCAACCCGCATTAAGCTGAAACCTTATTAAGCAAAAGAACAAAACTACATGTAAGTTTCCTCCTAAGGCCCTGCAATGGTGCTGTTCCAGGATTTATGGCAGTCAGAATCATACCCATCCAGCAAGATAAAACCATGTGAAAGGGGGATGATTTAGTTATTTATTCCTAAGTATTCTCGAGCCGAAATTCCCTAAATTAATTTCCTTTTAATTTTCTTATTTTTATGATTTTTCTTCTTCCTTACTGTTTTATATTTTATAAATTCTAAAATTCCATTCCAATACGCTGACAGGATTCAAGTATTCACGAGAATAACACCAAATAGAAGATAGTAAGTACTATGAAAACAATGCACACGAAAGTTCACATGGAGGGTCACATATAGTGAGCCACAAGCCCCAGTGAAGTGTATCCCAATCAAAGACATTTTATGGCGAATGACATTTTTTTAGTGAATATCAGAGGAAGCAGGGGCATCTTGGAGTAGTAAAAAAGGTGTCCTATCAGTAAATCTCTGCGTTATTTTACCAAAATGGCAGCATTGGGGTTGCTCAAAAAACAAAAAGATGTGTTCTGGAATTCTCATAAAATGTTGGCAGTTTGAAGGTCTTTCAAAGAAGTTGCAAATCCTACCTTCTATTGTAAGAGAGAAATCCCAAGACCAAGAGAAAGGAGAGGAGAAGAAAGAATATCAAGGGGAAATGTCTCTCGTTCCTTTCAAAGAGATAATGAGCTCTAGTGAGGAACATGTGACTGATATACCCGAAAAAAAATATAACGCCACTTAAAAATGCTCGCCATCAAAAGATCCAAAAAACAGCATGCAGAAGCGTACATCATTACAGAATAAGAAGAATTATCATGTCTATAAGATCACAAAATGAAAGTCAGACCATTCAATAGCGGTGAGATGCTTACGAGAAAGGACACTACAGAAAACCATTGTCCAAATGGGTCCACCATCCAATGAAATGGGGACATGATAGGGAGGGAGCGAGACAACCAAAATAGGACATGCCCCAAATGGATTATGGTTTTACATAGCAATAGCATTATAGCACACCTTCCCTATGTTTACAGCATATGACGTACTTGTCAACGCTCTGACCACTTGTTGCAGTTGAGTAGACTATCGGTGCCCAATCAAGAATACGAAGCTTCTCCCTTACATCTTGTTCATAGTATGTAGCTGTCTGGTTATTCTTTTTTGGTATGGTGTCCCATTTATTTACAACAATTACACACCCTTTTCCTTCCTTTTCAATCCTCTCTGCGATTCTGTAGTCCTAAAACAATTTAGGATGAAGGAAGATATGGTTAGGAGTTATCAGATTATGACACCAACAAACCAGACATATTTGGCAGAGTCACCAATAAAGTAGAAACTGTGGTAGAATTTGAATTAAAACTTTCGAAGGTAAAGTATGATTTGAATCTCAAGAATGTAGAAGAGAACTAACAATCAAAAACAAAACATGAAGAATTTTTGTTGATCATACATAAAATTGTTGAAATTAGAGTTGTAAGTGGAGGATACTAAAAAATGGGAATCTATATTATTTTGTTTCTTTTTCTTTTTTCTTTCATTGGTTGTACTGAACAAGGGTAACTTAAATAGGCCTGTAGACCACTCCCATCAGGATGTAACTTTCACCAATAAAAAGTTGAAACAAAATAAGAATTATAAGATTGCAATGTTTTTTCTTTAAATATGACTTCAATTATTTGTGATATTGTATATCCACAAGAAACTTACCTGCTCTGTAATGCAAGCCATAGCCTCAATGACAAGAGCCACCAGATCCGAACGGCATATGGCTCGAAACGCTCGATTCACAGATAGGGATTCGGTCAGATTGCCTGCTGAAGCAACTGCTGCCCTTCGTCTTATCCCAGCTGTATCAATAAGTCTGTACTTCTGTAATGTAGCACGAACACATCAATTCTTTTAAAGATTCAAGACAATTATGAATTTTACAGATGAGAGCTTGTTAACAACATTTTAAAGCACGGACACTGATCAGTTCCACTTGAATATCTGCCTTGAAATTGCTATTACAGAAAATCACATCAACATTCTTGACAAGTAGCAGTAGCACTATATAATAGGAAGTAAAAGAGGGGAAATTTTTACATAAGTTTAAACAAGAAATATTTGTGCACAAAAAATTTGTTGTTGACAAGAGAAATGACATATGTGGCGAGTATTCAATTAAGTTACTAACCATTTCAGTGACAAAGTTCCAAGTTCTAACACAAGCTTACATCTCTCTCACATATCATCTTGTTTACACTCTATTACGTTCCATACTGTGAATAAATTGAGAGAAGAACAAGATACATTAATATAATGTAAAGTCGCACACACACACGGGCATGCATATATGCACCCACACACACATGCACATACACACACACACACACACAAATGAACAAACAAATAATTTGAGAGAAGAAATTAACATAATCCAAAGTTATCATGTCTTATCCATATGCACATATGCACATGTGGGTGTGAGCACACACATATATACATAAATACATAGCAAATATCCATCTATCCACGTTCTACCCATACAAGCACACAGACATGCATACATACATCATTTAGAATCCTTAAACTGATTTGATACATGCAGATTGGTTGACAAAAGCAATACCTCCTCAGTATCATACGACCACTCTGCAAAGCTATACTTAAGTCATTTGCCAGAAGGAAAATCACATTCGTATTAGATTATCAAAATAGTCATACTTGCCCATCTGATCCCATGAATTCAGTATCAATAGCATCACGTGTGGTCCCACTAATTGGGCTAACAATTGTCCTGTCCTCCCCAACCAATGCATTCAAAATGCTACTCTTCCCAACATTTGGCCTGCCAACGATAGCAATTGCAGGGATATAGTTTTCCAATCCATCATATTCTTCAGAGTCCTATAGTCAGTGTACATTAAAACATGATCAGCAATAAACAAGAACATTGAAAAAACGATTATTAAATAGAACCTAAGCAATCTCATTTTCTGAAGAAAATCATTTATCTACCTTAGACATCAAAGCCCGATACTCCTTTGAATTAGAAACACAAAGAAAACAAAGCTTTCAGATAAGAAAGAGCAAACTAAATAGTTAATATAAAAATAAAGAAAAATAGCAATATATTTAGTTATGGCAGGCCCAGTTGGATATCATTTATTGCGTCACACACATTTTACATATATTTATCTGAAAAAACAATCCAAGAACAATTTTGGAAATACATAAGCATATTCTGCTCTGACTATCTGATTATTTTCTTTTAACAATTATTTTAAAGAAAACAAAGGAAGCTACTAGTCTGTAAAGAGATTGTAATTCAGAAGAAAAAAATTCTGTTCCCTGGGCATGTGAAAAATAATCCCATCTGTCCCAATTAGGTATGAAGTTTCTATTAAGGACAAAAAGGGCTGTAACACTCATGGAGAGTGGCCTAATTAAAAACAAAGTTCTATTAACCAAAAAGAAAAAAAAAAAGCTGTAACACTCATGGAGAGTGGAATCACCAATAAATCATTGAATACATCGAGGGAATCCTTGATAATGATGGACCTGTGAAGTTTGCTACTGAATATGGACCCCAAGGAAAGGCTTAAACTTACAACCAGCTAGGAAGAACCTGCCTAGAGCACTAACATTACTTTGTTGTTTTTCATTAAAGATCACCGCAATTTTCTACTTTCTCAAAATAAAATAACACATCATTTCTTATTTTCTCCTACCCTTCCACACCCTCAACACAATTGGCAAAAGTAACTTCCATATGAATCCAGACCACAAAAATGCAGGATTCCATGCCCCAAGTTCCACATAAGTAGACACAGTAATCCAACTAAAAGCTTTGATACAAAGAATAACAAAAGGAATAAGGATCTAAATTGCATTAACACCATCTCAATTTGTATAAAATCTAGATTTATCATTACAATTCCAATGCACAAGTCACATAACAAAAAAGAGGTTGGCAGATTCCTAGAGAAAGTCATAAATTCAACCATTGACTATGCACAAGCTTACTGGCAGAAGACTGTAAAAATGAAACAAGAACAACCTGCAGCAACAAGGTACCTGAATACTCAGCCAGGAGGCTAACTAGTAATCATCGAATAACACCTCATGCACACAGAGGCTAGGAAGACTGATGTAGGGATTTGATGAAGAAAACAGAAGTTGAACAAGTTCCAATCAAACACAGGCACAAATTGAAGGAAACTAGGGTTTCCTCCCCAAAACCCTACCTAGGGAGAAAAATCTTCCTTTGTCTTTTCCCTACAAAAAAAAAAGGGAATAGTTCCCCCTCTCCTCCACAAACCTCCTTTTATAACTTTAATTAATTACAAAAATTCATAAATACCCTTCTCCAAAATAAAAATGACTAAACAATCCCAACCTAAAAGTAACTTGAAATAAAATATCCTAACTTGAAGTAAAATACCTTATTTGTCCCTCTTTTACCAAAAAAAAAAAGAAATAAAAACTAAAACAAAAAACAATTGTAATAAACTAAAACAAACTAAAATCATCTAACCAGTGCTTGCTCTTTCTTAGTCTTCTTAGTAGCTCGTCTCGGGTTTGGATCCTCCAAATAGATGTGTGCATTAGGAGGAATCGGCTGCTCCAATAATGATAGTCTTCGCTTGTCATACTTTTCATGTCATCATTCTCTCCTGGTAAGGAAAAGTCGCCCTCGAGTTAGAACCTTCATCTTCACTAACATTTGGTCCATGATACGTGGACAAATCAGTAATGTTAAAAATATTAGTGGATCTCCATATGCGAAGGCAAAGTGACCTCATACACGTTGCTGCCCATCTTCTAAAGGAACATTGGAAGGGAGTCTTGCAACACCAATGTCCATTAACATTGTAACACCACCACGTCTTGTATGGATGTACTGATGAAATTCATCCATATATTTCATCCACACTCTTATACCCTTGACAAAGGTTATTCATTCTTTGGTAAAAGGACTGCAAATAATTTTTAGGTCGGTAGTTTTCCTTCAATTTTGTTTTCATCTTCTCCCAAGAATTAATTTTTGGTTTTCCCAATATTTTCCTTCTAGCGTTAAGCTGTTCCCACCATGCAAAGCATCCTTATTCAATTTAATGGCAATAATTTTTCACCTTTTTATTTTCGAGAACTTTGTAATAAAAATCCTCTTACAGTATTTAACCGATCAATAAACATTTAAAATCATGGATGTGTTCACCTTCAAATCGAAAGTACTAGAGTAATGTTCCTTTAACGGCAATAATTTTTCACCTATTTATTTTCAAGAAGTTTGTAAAAAAAAACCTCTTGCAGTATTTAACCGATCAATAAACTCTTTGGGTTCAGGCTAATCATCAAAATCATGGATGTTCACTTTTAAATCGAAAGACCTAGAGTAATGTCACCCACGTCTAAGTCTTCTATCACTTTCCTCTTCACTCTACTCATTACATAAAGAACAACGATGAAAAGGGTAGTACTCAACATATCTTGGGCGGAAAATTACCGTTTTGCTGATGAGTGATCCAAGTTGTGCACGCTGCTGAACTTGTGATGTAGGAAAATTTGAGAAAACAGTAAATCAGCAAGAAACAAGCCAAACACAAACACAATTCAAAGAAACTTAGGGTTTCTTCTCCACACCCAAGCTAAGGTTGCAAAACCTTAGCTTTTCTTTTTTTTTAATTCTAAAAAATCAAGCGACTGCCTTCTCCTAGACCCCCACACACCTCTTTATAATATTATTTAATGTTCCAAGTACAAAAAGTGTCCAAACAAATAATATTGAACCCTTATATCCTAACTGAAATTTAAAATTCATAATGACAGTTTGACTCCTGTCATCAGTACTTGTGAATAATACTAATGAAGTAAATAAAAAATATAAAAACCCTAGAATCCCTAAAAGCGTAAAAAAACCCTAGAAATAAACCCTAAAACTAAAACTATAATATAAATCCCTTAAAATTGAATAAAAAATTAAAAATAAGAATAATTTTCCCTCCATCATTTTCCTTTGGTTGGAGAAAAGTCGTCCTAGAGTTATAAAGTGTGCTTAGATGAATTCAGCATCAAAACCAATTTTTTCAAACCTCTTTTTCTTTGTCGACTCAAACATCATTCGTTGTAAAAAAAAATTCCTCGATAAACGGATCCTGATATGTATATAAAGCTATCCTTGAACTCCCATTGAAAATCGCATAGGAAACTTCAAACCTAATTTTCGGGTCTTTAAAGGTTTTCTCGACACCTATTTCATTACTTTCTGAAAGCGCACTCTTCCTCTACGCTACTCTGATTCCAATGCCTTAAATCTGTTGAATGTCTTGCCCCTTTGATATTAATTAGATCTTCAAAGGCCATGATTTGGATCAGTCCTCCTATTTCCTTCTCTCCATATTCTTCACCCTCTTTCAAAATATGTTCCAATGTTTCAAAAACCGCTAGGCAGCCAAGGGGGTCCAGGCCTCCCAGCGCCTTGGCAGGCGCCAAGAACATGGGCGGCCCAATAGAAAGAAATTTTTTTGGGGGTTTTTCTCTCTCTAAAATAGGCTCTAATGGGTTTTAGGTTTCAAATCAACCTAAAACTCACAATTTTGCCCCTTTAGTATTAAAAAAATAACCCAAAAATGTCATCAACGAGGGGCATTTTCGCCCTTGGGCGGGGCACAGGCGGCGGTCGCCTAAGCGGGTTCAAGCGGCCGCCTAGTCAGGTTCCCGGGCGCCTAGGCGAGCACCCAAGAATATCTGCCTAATTTGGATGCCTAGGCCTGGGCGTTGAGCAGTCCGCTTTTTAAAACACTGATCTCTTCATCATCATCTTCATCCTTATCATAGATCAAATCCCCTCAACAATCTTGTTGTCCATCGGAGTATGTATCGAATATTCGTAGTGAATTTTAATCTACAACTTCCTGATTTTTTATGCAATATGTGGCAAAATCAAGATTCTCATCCTTTAAATCAAAAACCATAGAGTGATGTTCCCCACGTCTAGGTCTTTTATCATTATCATCATCACTCCAATCCCATGTAGAGCGTGAAAGTGAAAAGACTTGCACTCGAGACCTTCTTGGGCTGAAAGATCACCGTCTTGCCCACTACTGAAGCTCGTGAACTGTTGCATCAACTAATGAACTTGCCTTTCAAGTTCGTCCATTCTGTCATCTCTAGGATCATGGAATGGGTCTATCAAACCCAGCCTCCACGATCCCTTCTAACCACCATGGGTTCTCCGAAATCACAAACCCTTGGTAATGATGAACAAAAACTTGTTAAAATCAGTAAGATCTAAGCTGATTTAACAAAACTTGGGCCAAAATCAGCATCCTTAGACTTGGCTATAGTTCTTTGGCCATGTTGTTGAAGAAATCCTAAGCTGTGATGGATAAAAGAAAATTTGTGAAAATAGTAAAATTAGCAAGAAACAAAGTCAAACACAAGCACAATTCAAAGAAACCTAGGGTTTCTTCTTCACACCCAAGCTAGGGTTGCAAAAGCATGAGCTTTCTTTTTTTTTTCTCAATTATGGAAAACCACGTGATTGCCTTCTCCAAGGCCCCCACACACCTTTTTATAAAATTATTTAACGTTCCAAGTACAAAAAGTTCCAAACAATCAATACATAGACTCATAATCCTAACGTAAACTTAAAATTCGTAACAGCACTTGTGAATAATACTCATGAAGTAAATAAAAATTATAAAAACCCTAGAACTCCTAAGAAATCCTAGAACTAAAACTATAATCTGCATCCTTTGAAATTGAATAAAAATTAAAGAATAATTTTGCCCTTCATCAACTTGCCTCTTGAGATCTTCAATCTCTTGCATCACAGGATGGATCTACAAGAGCTCCCCTCCACATCCCCTCCAGTTGCCATGGGCTTGCCGAAATTACAAATCTTAGGTAGAAAATCAGAGGTTGAAAATAAGCAAACCTAGGCTGAAATCAAAAACCTTAGGTTGAAATTACAATCCATAGGTTGAAATCAGCAAAGCCTAGGCTGAAGTCATAAACCCTAGGTAAAAAATCGTAAATTTTAGGTTGAAATCGGTAAACCCTAGGCTTGATCGAAAATTTCTTCCCTTGCCGATCACAAAACCTTCACTCTGACACCAAATGATGTAGGGAAAATTAGCAAACCTAGGTTGAAATCAGCAAACCCCGGGAAAGGGGCTGGGGTCGTGGTGGTAGCACCTCCACACCCTAGTCACCACATTGTAGTTTCCATTCCCACCACTAGCACCTTCAAAAAGCTAACTCCTAATCTACTTAAAAAAACGGGTAGTTGCATGTCTTCTCCACTGAATTACCCAAAAAAAAAATATCCGGAAACCCAGGCTTGATCGAAAATATCTTCCCTTGCCGATCACAAAGCCTCCACTTTGATACCAAATGATACAGGGATTGATGAAGGAAACAAAAAATTAAACAAGTTCCAATCAAACACAAGCACAAATTGAAGGAAACCTAACTAGGTTGCAAAAGCTTCCTTTTTTTCCCCTCTATAAAAAAAGCATGAATAATCCCACTTCTCATCCATGGGCCTCCTTCAATAACTTTCATTAATTACAAGTCATTAGAACTTTTCTCCAAAAAAAATGACTAAACAGTCCCAGCTTAAATTAACTTAAAATAAAATACCCTAACTTAAAGTAAAATACCTTAATTGTCCTCTCTTTTAACTAAATATAAAAGAAATTGAAACTAAATTAGTAAATAATGACAATCAATTAAACTCAACTAAAGAAATCATTCGAGCAGTATTCGCTTGTCTTATTATTCTTGCCAGTTCCTCCGGATATGTATTGTCCGAATAGATGCATGCATCAGGAGGAATCAGTTGCTCCAATAGATGATAGTCTTCACTTGTCATACTTGCCACGCCATCAACGAAGTATGTAGTTCCCAACATGAGAATCTATATCTACAGTAAATAGAGGTAGGTCATCATCATCATCATCTGAGCATTATCCCAACCATCTGGGATCGGCTATACAAATCCTGTTATGCCATTCTGCTCTAGTAAGCGCCATACCCTCACTAAGACCATAGGTCTCCATATTTTTTCTCATTACTTCCATCCATGTTCTTTTGGGCTTTTCCCTTGCCCTTTTAGAGTCTTCTAATTGAACCAAATCGTACCTCCTAACCGGTGTGGTATTCGGTCTACACTGCACATGGCCAGCCCTTCAAAGTCTACTTTCCCTCATCTTATTGCCTATTGAAGCCACACATGAGTTCCAAATAGAGGCAGATAATTCCCATAAGGGTCAAGTTTGAAGCCAAAAGACCCGTGACCTAAAAGAGTAGTAGAAAACTTAAAGAGTACCCTAGTGGTGTCAAATTGTGAATTAACATATCGGATGAAATGAACAACGAGATAAGCATTGTTATACAAAGCATTATACGTAGTGGTTGGCACCGGATCAGAGAACAACAATATCTAACAAGGCATGGTAACACACTAACATTAAAGGAGAATGTTTATGTATGGTTGCAACGGAAATAAGGTTCACCTCAAAGATCCTCTAAAGGAGAGTGCTATGATGTTGGAGAAACCTTCAATTGATCATCTTGACCTCGAGCTATGAGGAAATGATGGGGGAAAAAAGAAAATTCAAGTTCTAAAAATAATGCATCTTGTAACAAGTTATCTGGACCGTCTATTTTCAACTTTTTCAAGTGTTTAGAGATCTTCTCAATCTGTACAATTTTTAAAATTTTAAATTACATAACTAAGTATAAAAAAATATTTTAAAAGCCAATATAAGTTTCTAACACCAAAACTACATCTCTGAGTAAATTTTAAAGATGTGCCTTAATTCTACAGTATAAGGAGGCACCTTATACAAACCTCACCCATCACTAATTATAGAAAGGGAACCAGATACTTATCGGGGGGGAAAAAATAAAGTCAAGATGCCTAAGAAATTACAACCATGAAATTACCCAAAAAAAAAGACTATAACTATGAACTAATTGTTCTGAACATTTATAAGTCATTCATTTACCTACACGATAAGTTGAGCATCTGATCTATTGAAAACCGTGCATCCACGGTACATGGTTGCAATGAACTAGGGCCAATAATCTAATAAGAAAAGAAAAACAGAAAACTCATTCTACAAACTTGATGGCCATGGCACATTAGGGTAGTTACAATATGCAGATTTTGTTTGATGCCCCTATCATTGAGATCATCTATGTGTTTACTGTTTCAAAATAGGACCATCCCAGTCAAACCACAAAAGTAACCAAGGGCAAAGTTATCAGGGCATAGTAAATGGAAGCAAAAAAAATCTCAAAATATCACGTTGCACCATGCATACAGTGTTTTGACATTCCTTCCCATTTGCACTTTATTTTTGTTTCCTTGTAATTACTTTCATTTAAGAAATAACTAGAAAAAATGTCAAGCATGCACGCTCCAAGACAGACATACCTCAATAGTTTTTAGCTCTGAACAAACAAGATTAAGAAGCTCTCCTGTTCCCGTGCCAGACACTGCAGATATAGGAATTGGAGTAAACCTGCTTGATCAATTAACACTAAATAAATAACTTTGCAGATAATACACAAACACACAAGCATGCATGATCGAGAGCATGCACATATGCACATATGAATATATTTATATGTGTGACAGCATGTGTGAAAAGTTTAAGAAACCTCAAGCGGAGTAGGAAAAATACTATTGGCTTCATGATGTATATTATACTACAGCATATAAGAAAAGCATTAAAGCATAATGATTGTAATCTACAATTCTACACATTTTGCAGTTCTTATCAGCAATTTCACAACTGTCAGATTTCACCATTCTGATAGTTTATGAATAATAAGTATAGCATGCTCCATGTACGAGAGCTATGTACGAGGTAATTATCAGCAATTTCATATTTTGCAGCTTGGTGAGAGATATGTAGGAGGGAGTGCTAACTAGTTTGCAAACAACAAGTGGAAAGACGAATGAGTTTTCAGTGACAATAGGCCTACATCAAGGGTCAGCATTGAGGGCATACCTCTTTGTCTTAGTTATGGACGACTAAACTAAGCACCTACAAGATGAAGTACCATAGTGTATGTTATTCGCAGACGACATAGTTTTCATTGATCAGACCTGAAACGGCGTCAACACAAAGAACTTAAGAGGGATGCTCTAAAATCTAAAGATTTAAAAAATCTTGAGGAAGCAGTTAAGATTGAAGGCCAAGAAATACCAAAAAGAGCAGACTTTCAATATCTCGGGTCGATAATCCAAGACAATGGAGAGATTGAGGAAGATGTTGCACATAAAATTAGAGCTAGGTGGACGAAATGGAGATGTACAACTGAAGTTTTATGTGATCGCCGCGTACCAATGAAGTTGAAAGGCAAGTTCTATATGATAGCTGTGAGACCAGCTTTACTTTATGGGGCAGCATGTTGGGCGGTCAAGAAATAACATACCCATATAATGAGTGTAGCTGAGATGAGGATGTTGAGATAAATGAGTCGCAAGACAAGAAGGGATAGAATTTGAAATGAATACATTCGGGAGATATTAGGTGTGGCACCAATAAGCAATAAGATGAGAGAAAGTAGACTCCTGTGGGCTGGCCATGTGTAGGGCAAACCCAGTACAGCACCTGTTAGGAGTTGAGAGTCCGTTCATGTGGAAGGTTCAAAAAGGGCAAGGGGTAGGCCCAAAAGTACATGGTTGGTAGTAGTGAGAAAATAGATGAGGACTTATGGCCTCACTGTGTGTATGGCCCTTAATAGAGAAGAATGACAGACTAGGACTCGTGTAGCTGGCCCCAATTACTAGGAAAAGGCTATGATGATGATGATAAATTATAGCGTGCTCCATCCATTCAATAGTTGGGTATACACATTCAAAACATCTCAAGAAACCAAAGACTGCATCAACCATTTCACAAAGGGCGTGATTTGCATAAGGTTGCAACCTTCAACAATCAAATTAAGGTGAACATTAAAACTTTGTCATGACATACAATTTTGGTGTAGAAAATTCTTAAGATGGTACGAGAATCAATTTTTATCTAATTATAAAATTTTAAACTAAAAAATAGTTCAAATCAAGCTAATCTATAATGCATGAAAATCTTGAAAATTGACGATCTAGATAATGCATTGCAAGATGTACCATTTTTATATGATCGCCACATATCGATGAAGCTAACGGGAAAGTTCTATTAGGACAACTGTGAGACCAGCTTTACTTTATGGGCCAGAATGTTGGGCGGTCAAGAAACAACATACCCATAGAATAAGTGTAGCTGAGATAAGGATATTGAGATGGATGGGTGGCAAGACAAAAAGGGATAGAATTAGAAATGAACATTTTCAGAAGAATTTAGGAGTGGCACCAATAGGCGATAAGATGAGAGAAAATAGACTTAGGTAGGCTGGCTATGTGTGGTGCAGACCCAGTACAACACCTGTTAGGAGGTGCGAGTTAGTTCAAGTGGAAGGCTCAAAAAAGACAAGGGATAGGTAGCCCCAAAATGATGTGATTGGAAGTCGTGAGAAAAGATATTAGGACTTATAGCCTCACTAAAGGCATGGCCCTTAATAGAGCAAAACGGTAGACCAGGATTCGTCTAGCCGACCCCAATTAGTTAGGAAAAGGCTTTGATAAAAATGATGATGATCTATACACCTCAATGTTGACATGATCAATTAGAAGTTTTTCCAACATCAAAATAACATTTTCCAAAGGATTTTAGAGGTGCACCTTAATGCTGCATTTTAAGGTGTCAACCTTATATAAACTTGTTCCTTTCATAAATTGACGCCGGCAAAGGCTTTGAAGATGAGTGCTTCACATGCTCACTTTTTTGTTTTCTTTTTATTATGTAGCATTTTGTTGCTTAAGTATAACCATTGGCGCTGGTTTGCATTCTCCAACCTCTGTGATGCCAAGACATACGAAAAAGGTTGGAAAAATACTCAGCACTAGCTGCCTTCCAACTTTGAAAGGACAAACTCCATCCTCATTTCCCCATAATCCTCTCACTCAACCAAAACTATAACCACAACTTAGAGATAACAGTCATAAATCGTATGCACAATTTCTAGATAGTAAAAACTAATCAAATATTGAACAATTTCTGAGAACCCTAACACAAAAAAATAATCAAATGAACAACAGGTCACACATCAATTCAAGAAAAACTAAACTACTAACCCCAATGACCAAAATTCTGAGGCTTGCATAAGCCCCTTGCGTGGTGATTCACACTTGTTCACAGCAAGAATGATACTTCTGTCAGAGTGGTTCTTACGTAGCCAGTCTGCTATCTCCACATCAGCTGCTGTTGGGCCTGTCTGTTGGAAAACTAGTAATATGATTCATACATTTGTAGCCGTCGACAAAGCTATATAGTAAAAATAATCACCTACAAATGACCAAGTGCCTCACCAAGACAAACTTTGATAGCTTGGCAAAACAAATGCCAATATTCAATTGAACAGAAAATGAGAATAGATGCCACCATGCATCAAAATCAAAATTTTCAAATAGAGATGAATATCTTCTTCAAGTTCCAAATAGAAAGATATCTAAGACCACCACATGATATTCTACGGGTAAGTTTGGTTCGCGCGTAAATATTTCTCGAGAAATATTTACATATGTAAATACTTTACCTGTTTAAATATTTGTATATGCATTCTTTTTACATGTTTGGTAGCACATTTAAAAAGCATTGCGTAAAGAGTTTCATATGTTTTATAGTGCTTGGTTTGTGTGAAAATATTTACATAAAATCTTAAATAGATATGTATATTATATATATAATATAATAAATATAGGGAAAAGCTGGTGTCAGTCCACGGGCTAACAGCTACAGTGTTAGTCAACGGCCCAGATTGAATCAAAGCCGATCTGACAATCACGACCTCATTTCGTAATTGAATTTTCATTTTTTTCTAAAAATCCAAATTACTTGAAATTTTAGGCGTTCATTTTTTTCATCAAGGCGTACCTAATAAAATATTAAAAATAATTTGTAAAACATAAATTGACCAACATACCCCTGAAAAATTTCGGGAGTATTTTGGTCAATTTATTTTTGCAAATTATAGTTTTATATTTTTCTTAAATTCTCCTATGTTTAAAGAATAGACGCTCAAAATTTCAAGTGATTTGGATTTGTAGAAAAAAATGAAAATACAAATACAAAGTACAATCGTGACACTAGGATTGGGCCCAGATTCAACATGGGTCATTAGCTAACACTATAGCTGTTAGCTAGTGGGCTAATGCCAGCCTTTCCCATAAATATATATATTATATATACAATATATTATATATTGTATAATATAATATTATATATAATATATATTATATATTATTTTATAAACAATAGTATATATTATTATATATTTTATAAATACATTATATTAATTAAATATATATAATATTATATATAATATAACAAATATATATTACTTAATATAACAAATATATATTATAAATAATAATATTACTTATTGTATATTATTTTATAAATAATAATATATATTATTATAAATTTATTAAATATATTATAGTACTTAAATATATATATAAAGGGTGCGGTTTGTATAGAGCCTAGGCTCTAAACAAACAAATTAGAGCCTACCTTCAAATAGTGTCGAGAAATGTAGTTTTAATACTTGAAATCTTTGTGATAGCCTTAAAATATATTTCATCTTTATTTATAAGGTTTAACGCTTCAAAAATAGTATTGATCAACATTTCTATGAAAACTTGAAAATCTTGAAAATTGACGGTCCAAAAATGTGTTACAAAATACACTATTTCCATAATTTGAAATCCACTTTTTTCTTATGTCCATGCATCTCGATGTCGAGATGATCAATTTGAAGATATTTGAGCATCAAAACAATAGTGAAATTTTTGAGGTAGGCTCTAATTTGATTGTACAGAGCCTCAGCTCTATATAAACTTTTCCCATATATAAATACTATATTATAATATAATATAAATATAATACATTATATATTTCTATAAGAAATATATTATATATTTCTATAAGAAATATATTATATATTTCTATAAGAAATATATATATTTTTTTTTTTGAGAGAAAGTTAACTTGTATTAATGAGGAAATATTACAAGGCTATGGTGGTCCGAAGTCACCCACGCATGGGCCAAAAATTGTTTAGTCTATCATGTACAAAAAAAAAGGGCCTATAGATGTTGCCCTATTACATTGATTTACATTGAGCTTTCAAAAAATACAACTAAAGAAAAAGCCTATGAATAGAAAGGTTTAAGATGTGTGCCACTGGTCCTGCGCAAAAAAGAAGGTGGATCCAGTTGAACTTCTTGACTTTGACTTCTAGCTCCCTCTTTCGCCAAGCGATCTGTGAAGTCGTTGGACGTCCTCCAGATATGCTTTCACGAGACGTCCATAGCCCTGCAAGTGTGGTGAATTTTATCAAAAATTGGAGTTAGATGCCATGGAGGAGAGCTTGTTCGACTTGCCCAAGAGATGACATTTTGTGAGTCACCTTCCACTATGAGGTGTGAGCCCCAAGATTGATTGTAGTTTTTCAAGGAAATTAAGAGGGCGGGGCCAAGGCTTCTGCTTGATGGGAGTCCTTAAGGCCAAGGTACACAGAAAGAGTAAGGCGAATATTGCCTTCATGGTCTCTAAAGACCCCCCTGCCCCAGCTGGGCCCGGATTACCTAGGGAGAACCCATCAAAATTTAACTTGATTTTGCCCTCTAGAAGAGATTGCCAGTTATTTGGCCTTGTGACCATTTGCGTTTGATGAAGGAGGACGTTATGCCATTGGGTAAGGAAGAAACTCCTTGAGATACCCGAAAAGACCTTGTGATTTGAGGCCCAAAAAGTGACCAGAGATACTGCCTTGTGAAAGAGAGTTGGAGGTTGGAGTTTAGAGCCTTGAAAGATCCTTGAATTTCTTTCCAGCCCAACTGTCCAGATGGTTGCAGCTACAGTTGCCTTTCACAAGATTCTTCCGGCCTTAGGCCAACATGAATCAAGATCATAAAAAATCAAAGCCTTGACCGAAGGGGGAGTGACCCACTTAATGACGAACATTTGCAGTATTCGCCCCCGAAGGTCGTAGGAGAAATCACAAAGGATAAAAAGGTGAGATTTGATTCCTCCTCACATTCACACAAAGCGCACCTATTAGGGATGGGGATCCCTCTCTTCTGTAGGTGATCCACTATGAGGGCTTTGTGAGAGAAGGCTAGCCAATTAAGGGTCAGGACTTTAGGTGGAGCAATGGTGGCCCAAACTCTAGACTGTACCAAGTTGTTAGATCCCGAGAGGGTAGGTAAAAGGGTTAAGATTTTATAGAAAGAGGCAATCGAGAAGTTCCCTGATGAGGCTAGGGTCCAAACAATATCATCGTTACCTTGAGGTAGGATAAAGATAAGAGTGTAGGGTTGTTGAGTGAACCTGGAAGTGGCTGGTTTCCCCTTTTGTTAGATTCCTTAGGAAAGAAGGGTCCCAAACTCTACGCGCTCCAATCAACATCATCTCCTCTGCTATTGAAGATTATTTGTTTTGAGCTAGTGAGTAGAGTGTTGGGAACTCCTCACGCAGTGGAGAAGGTCCTAACCACAAATCTGACCAGAACTTTACTCTCAAGCCCTCTCTTGGGTGGAATCTTACAGACCTTTTGGAAAGAGTGAAGACTGTTGAGAATGATTTCCAGGCTCCTGAAGCGTTGTGCCGCTGAATCCTCTCAGGCATCCAAGCACCCTCAGAGATACGATATTTATGCCTTAAAACCTGTGCCCAAAGAGCATTTGGCTGAGTGGCAAGGCACCACCACCATTTCTCGAGGAGAGCCAGATCGTGTTTTCGAAGGACTATGATACCTAGGCCACCCTGGTTTTTGGGTCGGCAAACTTTGTCCCAACATACTAGATGAAACTTTTTCTTTTCAGCCTGCCCCGACCATAAGAAGTTTCTCATGAGTTGGTTTAGACGATTAGCCACCTGTGCAGCCATATGGAAGAGGGACATGAGGTAAATTGGGGAGTTTGCTATAGTAGCTTTAATCAGAGTCATTCTACCTGCCATTGAAAGGAATCTGCCCTTCCACCCTGCCAAGTGCATATCTACCTTGCTTAGAACTTGGGACCATTGTCTCTTTTTTGGTGTCCCAGGTCTAGAGGCAGACCAAGGTAGGTGGTAGGGAGTTCATCTACAGAACACCCCCAGCTTGGCACAAGAGCTCTGACTTCTGCAGTTGTCATTGCCACATTTTGCAAATTAACTTTGAACCCCGTTGCTATTTGGAACAGTTGAGGAACAATTTGAGGGTACTGACTTCGCTTGGAGAGGCTTTCATAAACACCAGGGTGTCATCCACGTATTGCAGATGAGACATCGTTGAGCCATGTCTGCCGGTTTTGAAGCCAGAGAAGAGTCCTGCCTGGTAAATTCGAGAGATAGAGCGGTTGAAAACTTCTGCCACAATTGCAAACAGGAAGGGGGAAAGTGGGTCTCCTTGACAGAGACCTCTCGAGGAGCAGAAAAATCCTTTTGGGGTTCCATTGATGAGAATAGAGAAGTGTGGATGGGAGTAGTAACCTCTCATCCACATTCTCCATCTTTCCCCAAAGCCCATTCTTGCCATGGACTCGTCCAGTATTGACCAGTCCACATGGTCATACGCTTTTTCCCAATCAATTTTGAAGATAAGACCCGGTTGTTTAGACAGGTGTCTCGAGTGAATACACTCATGGGCCACTAAAGCCCCATCGACAATCTGGTTACCTCTTATGAAAGCAGATTGAGAGGAGGAGATGATGGAGGGGAGGATAAGTTGAAGCCTAGAGGCAAGGACTTTTACCATAATCTTGTAGGATGAGTTTAGAAGGCTGAGTTTAAAATATATATAATATTTTATTATATTAAATACATATAATATTATATATTATTATATTTAATATAATATAAATACATTATTATAAATTTTATAAATACATTATACTACTTAAATATATATAAATGCTATATTATTATATAACATAAATATATATATTATAAATAATATATATATAATATTCAATTATATTAAATATATATTATTATATATTATTATATTAAATATATATATTATTATAAATTTTATGAATATATTATACTACTTAAATATATATAAATACTATATTATTATAATATATTATAAAATATATATGCATTATTAATATATTAAGTAATATAATACAAATATGTTATATTACTTAAAGAGAAAACAAATGCACGGAGAATGTTTCCCCACCTCAATAGGTGTGGTTTTATTTTACCATGAATTAGACCATTTCCATGGTAAAAGCTTTTACCATGGTATGTTATTTGCATATGCATTTGCAAGAACCAAATGTATGAAACACGATTTACATGTGTAAATATTTCCCGTGGAATATTTATGCACGAACCAAACTTACCAGCATTAGGAGGATAACTAAAACAACTTTTCCCACTACCCAATGAATCTATATAATTTGTTACTTTCCCAACAAGAAGCCATATTGCTAGAACTCAAATCAAACAATACAAGTAAACTGCTTGCCAAGGTTAGTGAAAAGGTCGAACGAATTTTGGCTTTTGTCTTTTTGTTTTTTCATATAAAAAATGATGGATTTATTGTTTGTTGTGCTAATTTTTTTAATATGAATTCCTTTTTTAATCCTGAAATAGCCATGTAGTTGCATTATGCCAACCATTTCATTACGGCCCAGCAACAAAAAGTAATATAGATTTTGCCGAGATCTTAGCACCAAAGGAGAGAAAAAACTTGAATCTAAGTTAGGCAACAAAGACTCACTTCATCTCTTCCCACTTTTTGGAAGGATAACGTATATGAAATTTTTGAAAACTGAAACAGAAACATTCGTGGTAAAATGCTTGTATCCATCTCACTAATTTTTGTGGGAATCATAAACATTTGTGGCTTTACCTTTTCATGCACCCACTTGTTGCTCCAACACTAATAATCCTTCATCAGAATATGTGACAGAGAAAACATTACATATATGGGAATATAATTTGTCCATGGTTTTCTAGTTTCTTGGGGTAACATGGCAGGCCGCCAGTGGCTGCGCCCACTGAATAAAACAAAAAAGAAAAAAAAAAGTTTCTTGGGATCGAAATTCATCTATATCCTTTCCCTAAAACTTTTGAAAACATAAGGAAACTTAAGCAGGAATTTGGCACTAATATTGACTGTAAGATATATTGTCATCAGAGGGTTTTACCAAAGCATACCTGGCCATCAACAAGAAAAATAATAACAGAAGCTTCCTCCACAGCAGTAGCAGCTTGTCTCTCTATCATGCAAGGCATCTTTGCAACAGCTGCCTCTCTAGCAGAAAGCGAAATTCCATCCATACCAATGGTAGTTGTTATTGCCAATTCCTCTTGTACACTAGCCTGAGACTTCGAAAGCGTGAGAACACCACCGGTGTCTACCACCATAAATTCATGTGCTCCCCAAAAAGATCTACCATACAAGCGATCTCTGGTAACACCAGGTTCATCTACAACAATCGCTCTATTCCCCTGCAAAATTAGTTGCCAAAGAAATAAGACAAATAATAGAGAAAATCTCCAAGAATATGTATGGTTAATCTTTGACCATGCTACTTCTCAAAGTTAGATGTCATGCTATCATCCAGTGACTGCACAAGAGACGTAATATATACAGCAGAAGATATGGAAGGTACCCCAACAAGACGATTGAATAATGCTGATTTACCAACGTTCGGCCTCCCCACAATCGTAACTCGCGGAAGAAGATGATCAGGAACCTACAAGTGAAAATGCACGATCTGATTTATTTCATTTGGCGGATGCCACCAAGAAGAAGAAAAGAAAAGACATTCACCTAAAACCTCAAAAACATTATTTTATAAATGATTTGGATTGAATTTGACTACACACTGAAGTTAAATGATTAACTTACATGTTGAAAGGAACCAGCACGCCTCTTTTGCCATTTGCCTTGGTTCTTTTGATCAGATGCATCTTCTTCTGTAAGCATAAAGGATTTTTAATAGACCAAAGTTACTGATATTTCTTTACAATTTGGAATTAATATGGCCATATAGTCTATAGATCAATTGCTGATGTGTACTCACAACACTGACATGGTAGATGGATCATGGGAATCCCCTGTACTCTTTGTATTGACATTCATTTTGAAAAGAAAGTATAAAACTAAAAACAAATTTACATCTACAAAATCCAAAAGATTTAGGCCTTCCTTATAAGGGAATACATACAATCAGAAACCAATACCAATCATGCTTAAATTCAACGATGCCAATAAAAGCACTGTTTTCTCCTCCTAGCATGGTTATCCTTTAGAAACTCCAAATTCATGACAACAAATGTAACTAGTTATATAATTATTACCTACAAACACAACCTAGAGGAAATGTAACATCACATTGAGCAATGCAGGAAGACAACCCTTTGGCAAAATCTCATAGACACAATGCCTCGGATATTTTATACTAGTGCTACTAATTGAGTGTCAACATGTAGCCATGCTCTCAATTAGAAGGGCGCTGGCACCTTTTGATTCCTAGTGTGAACTCTATTCAAAGTACCATAGTGATTGGGGGAACGAAGGAGCAAAGAAAATGGTAGCAGCCCTCTAAGGAGCTATTTTCTGTCTATCCCATGTGAAGCAACCAAGTGGTAGTAAATTGCAATTGTCTAAGGTGCTTTATTTGCAACACTTGTTTAAGAGGGCTCTGACAAGACTTGCTATATAGAGGAGCAAGTGTGAAGATGCTACACATCAAAGCATTGCCTCCTAACCATAATAACGAGTTCTTTGAAGTGTAGCCTATGCTACACATGAATCTCTAGGAGCTTCACAATAGTTTGACATACCAAAGCGCTTTCAAGGCTACAACATGTATTGGTGTGGCATTTAGACAAAAGGCGCCAGATGGTGTGGCATGTGCATTGAACGGTGCAAAATCCATTGGATCCAGGAATGGTGAAAAGGTTGAAAGATCTCATCAAATAAGGTGCTCCCTTATAGATACTTTCGAATGGTTAGATCCCCGTAAAACATGACATGTCTGACTTCTTACTGCTGATATGCAAGAGATGGGGGCAAAGTACTCTAAATGAGTACTCTCCCACATAAAATCAGAAGTTGCAAAGGGCTTTTTGCTGCCCTCTAAGCTGTTGTAAGCCCCAAGCTAGCTATCTGTAGCATTGGCTACACGTCAAATGCTTGGGGCATGCAAAAGCAAAAGCCCTCCACTTTTTCTTTAAATTACACCCTCTAAAATGAGTCTTAGCATTGGTACCACTGTCTTTGCTCACTGCTGGCCAACATCATCATTGGTTCCTAAAATCATAGGTTGTCTTTAGTAATGTTCGCAAAGAAAGCTTAAAAAGGACACTTCTCAATAATAGGTACAGACGATAAAGTAACTGATTCAGTAGCATCAGCTACAATAAGGCCCAGTGTCAAAAGAATCAGTTGAAGAAAGTTTGATGTACATCATGGTATGCACAAGGACAGATATCGCACACGTGGTTGGCGTAGTTAGCAAATTCATCACCCATCCTGGCAAGGAACATGGGCAAATTCATTGCCAATCCTATCTGGACTGGACCCGACCCAAAAATCAGAATATTTATATTTAAATAAATTTCATAAATTTGTTAAATATAAGCATGCGTTATTTAAATATTATAACTAAAAATATATAATTATATTTATTTATATATTATATATTAAATATTATTTAAATATCAACACTCTATTCGGGTCAGGTCCGGCTCTTGAATAGTGTTTGGGTCCAAGATTTGGACCTGGACCCGGACCCAGACCCAGAACCCGACCCGAACGCGTTGGGTCCAATTTTTGGACCCATAACTAGAGCTGGGTTGGGTCAACCTGTCTTTTCCTGGGTCCATTGCCATCCCTACCAAGAAGATACAATACTCAGTACTAGAACGGCGTTCATTAGGACACCCTGCCCCAATCAGCATCAGTATATGCCTTAAGGTCAAAAAGACTAGCGGAAGTATAGAACAAACTATCATGCATAGTTCCCTTTTAAGAACCTTAGAATTCTTTTTATAGCTTCCCAATGAGGCTGACAAGGGGCTTGCATAAATTGATATATTGTATTCACTGCATAGTTAGCAAATTCATTGCCAGTTCAGGTCCCGATCCCACATGATTTTTGGATCTGGGTCCCATAATATTTTTTCGATTTCGGGTCTGGCTGGACCTATTGCCACCCCTACTTCTTGGGTGATAATCTAATCTCTTGGGGTAGCAAGAAGCAAATATCACTATCAAAATCAAGCACAGAGTCATAATATAGAGCAATGAGTAGGGTGGCAGCTAATATTATTTGGTTACACATGCTTCTTAAGGAAATTGGGATCTCTACAAGTAAGTCCACTATTGTAGCTTGTAACAATCAAAGTGCAATGCAACTAGCTTCGAACCCCATCTTTCATGCTCGAATTAAACATATAGAGGTTGACTATCACTTCATCAGAGAAAAAGTCATGTCAGGTATTATCTCTCTGGTGATTGTCCCTTCATCCCAACAACTTGCGGACATGTTTACTAAAGCTTTAACAAAACAAAAACGCCTCGAGTCAACTAATGCACAAGGTGCATGCTCAGCTTGAATGGGGTATTAAGAGAATGGGTGTTAAGAGAGCTATCGTAGAAAAAAATTGTCTTTTCCAATATCATATAGGGTATATTAGCCCATTATTTCATATTACCATAAAGGGTAATACATTCGGGTAATATGGTCCATTGTATGTATATATACCAATGCCAATGATTAAATGATAAGTGTGGATGGTTTGAATGAAGGACCTGGTTTCTATGCAGCCAAGCCCACATATGTAGAAATGCGGGCCTATTAATAGATCTATATTTGAGATGGATTTTTTTACTTAATTTTTAACAACATGTAATCTCTAACGTGGAGAGATCATGAATCTGAGAAAATAAATAAATTTTAAAAACTAGAAATAATAATTCTAGTAAGAAAACATTTGGACCATTAGTTTCCATTATGTTTAGATGGAACATCTACTTGCATCCATCCTTAAGATGAATGCTTTACAATTTTTAGACTGCATATGTAGTCATGCAGTCCAGGCCGCATGAAACAATTTTCCTTGAATGAATTGGGACCGTTTCTCTCTTTTCTCACACTAGGGTTTCCAAGTTTAACAGGTAGGGGACCCCTTCAGCACTAAACTACCAAAAAAAAAAGAACTGCAACTTTCATCGAAATAGTGAATTCCGGTTTGCCTCTTGTCCATGGGGGCATAAGAATGATGGTCAACCACGTAACTTCTTGTCTTTCTTCTTCCTTTGCGGTTTCTCCTTCCATTCCACTTCTTCATTTCACACACACAAACACAATACACAAATATCCCTGACATTGCTGGAATCACTGTGTAATGGAGTTTCCAACACCAGGTGCATTGGTTAGTTTATTTGCACTGCTAGTGTTCATCGCTTTGTCCAAAAGAAACATGAGTTGTGTGGTTGTGCAATGGTTTGTACCGTGAACTTGTGGTAGGACGGTGATAGCGAATAGCATTGACTAAACATGAAATCTCAACAACTAGGGCGTGGATACTAATACAAACTTGTTGGTTTCACAGAATTACTCTGACACACACAGAGAGAGAGAGAGAGCGAGATTTGCCTTAAATGTTCAAGGTTTAAAGTGGGACAGAGAATGTGCAAGAGAGAGAGAGATACAAATCTCACAAAATAAATAGAGAGATGAAAGTACCTATGGACAATTCTCTAGATAGAGAGAGTGAGTACTCTCTAACGGCTGCCTGCGCCTCTTCTTCAAAGTCTCCGCTCTCTATATCCTCATACTCCCCCTCAGTGTCATAGTCCTCGCTTTTTTCCTCATCGCCTTCAAATTCACCGGACAATGGAGCACAATTGCACCGAACAGGATTCCTGCAAGTCAATTGGAAAGGGGGAAATGAAAGCCGGGTGAAGTTTTCGTTAGTCAAAGAAGGAACAAGGGAAGAAGACAGTTTGGAGAAGGGTTTGCAGTGGTGGAATGGGATAAGAGTTGCAGTGGAAGAGAGAGAAGATATATTTTTAGAGAAGGTGAGAAGCTCTGCCATGGCTGTAGTGGTGAGGAGCTCTGCAACTCCACTCTTCTTATCTCTAGAGTCTAGAAGGAAAACATTCCCGCCGTATCAACAAATCCAATTTTCCTCTCTAAAAATCCACAAATATCTGAGTGGTTATTTTAGGGCATGCTCCCGCGGGATCCGATTGTACATATGCTTCTTCGACCAATGTTGAGCTCCCGAAGCTTTTCTCTCTTTCTTATTTTTTCCTTTTTTTTATTTCTTTTATTAAGAAATTTTGAGATCCACTTCTAGATCGAATCTCGAGCTCATTATTTTCAAAAAAACACTTAGGAGTTTAAATTGGGAAACACTTTTAAGATGACTGAAAAATTAGATGGTCGTTATTCAATCTTAAGATTATATTTTCTCAATTTCATTTTTATTTTTATGAGATTTGTCACTACACTTAAGAGGTTATATTACCGAGGTTACCCAAGAATGTAGCACCTTGGAAGTATATACATCTTTTGGCTTAGATCTGTGATTCCCAATTCTATGATCCACATTCCATAGGATGAAGTAACAATACTATCATACGTACATCGCCGTCCAAGTAATGGATTGGACAGCAATGAGAGACTTCAAATACCCACGGATGGTGGAACCGTCATATTGAATAGGGCTGTAAGTAAATGGGTCAACCCACAGACCCGACGGGTCAAAGCAAGTCAGGTCTGATGGGGTCGACCAGCAGAGCCAACAGGTGTATGCAAATCAGTTTTAGACTTCAAATCTGAGTGGGTCGGGCTTGGGTCCAGAGGTAACCTAATAGTTGAATCGGGTAAGTCTGGGTCTCGCCATGGACTACGTTTGTTTAGGTGCGGCCCGAATCATTATCTTTTATTTAAAAAAAAAAATATACAAAGATACCACATGAAAAAGTCACAATCACTTTTTTTAAAAAAATTTACGTATTTTCTCTATCCAACCGTCTATTTTGAATGGACGGTTAAGATGGCTCCAATCACAATATCACGCCTCTACAATATTTTATTTTTAATTTGTTTCTACAATATTTTATTTTTAATTTGTTTTTCATATAAACCCCTAGCCCAGATCTTCCGGGAGTGGTTCGCTTAAAGGAAAGAGCATGTTAAGATTAACGAGTTTGAACATGCATACATCATTTGATGCTTTTCAAGAAATTATTCCAAAATGTAAAACAATTACTCCAAATAATAGAAAAAACAAACCTCAATATCAAAAAAGAAAATAATAGGAAAGAAAAAATAAACATTTCCCTATTGTTCCTTGCATTTAAGGCTCACAGTGTTCTGTTATTTAAGATAATTCAAATACAGCCCAGAGGAAAGTAGAAACCACCCCAAATGCAATTGCAGAAACTACAAAGACAAGCTGCCCTTAAAGAATGGCCCATTCCAACCAAAATCGAAGTCTCAAAAAACCAAAAAAATCAGATACATTCTTGGTAAGGATATTGAAATGTATCAGGCCTATGGAATTTGCTTTTGATAAAACAAAGTGCTAGTATACACAAGTAAGGCCTTCTGTTTCAGATCCGTCTCAGCTGCCCTTCTGAACAGTGCCATTTTCTATCAAATATTCCACAAACTCATCAATCAGGTAGGGCCAGGCACCTTCGGCATCATAATTCGACAGCATGGGGTCAACTGACTGCATTGCCAAATAAAACCCAAAGACCTAAGACATTATCTTTGAAAGCAACATAACAGGCACAGCCAAAATATATATATATATATATATATAGAAGAAGATGTTGGGGTGAAAAAAAAAATGAACCCAACAACAGCCCAAATTGAATCTTTATTAGATACGGCTTGATGTAAAAAACACACATAAAATTTCAAGTGATTTGGATTTGTAAAAAAAAAACTTAAAATTCAAACACTACCAAACATCCGTGTTCGTCAGATAGACCCAAATTCAATATGAACAGTTGGGTTTATACTATTCCATGAGCTAGTGAGCTCACCCAAGTTTTTTTCCCTATATATATATATATATAAAAAGTGCAGTTTGTATAGAGCTAAAGCTCTAAACAATCAAAGTAAAGCACACCTTCAAATAGTACTGAGAAATGTAGTTTCAATATTGAAAATCTTTGTGACAGCCTTAAATTATATATTCATTTTTAATTATAAACTTTAAAGGTTAAAAAATAGTACAAATCGAGTTGATCTATGAAAATCTTGAAAATTGATGGTCAAATAATGCGTTACAAAATGCACTATTTCCTAAAACTTAGTAAATAATTAATTTATTTTTACTACTATTCGTACCTATACTTATTATTACTTAATTCTAATTTGGGTACTAATTAATTACGTATAATAACAAA